GGGGGGAGATGCGGGGAGGAGAGAAAGGGGAGGGAGAATTGGGGAGGGGGGAGGGAATGGAAAGATAGTGGCGACCGCTGCCTAAGCACTATCCAGAGACGTCTTTGAACCGGGAGACGAAAGCTTGATAGAGAGCTTCAGGATGCACTCCAAACCAATGTCTTGAAGTCAAAGCAGCACAAGAGGATTAGTAATTATAGAGCTGTGCTTTATTTTGACTCAAAGGGCATGACAGTTTCAACACAAAAACCTGACAGGCTAGAGGCAGCATGAAAAGTCAGGCTGTGCACCTCACAGTGAGCAAACATTTGTTTTCACCCGCATATTTCAGCTGCTTTGGTTCTGTCGATATTGAGTCATTTGCAGCTAACCCCTGGAAATGTTTTAGGCATGCCGCATGTCTGGAAACATCTGTTTCAAATATCTGGCACTCCAGTCCAAAGCTATCAAACTCCGTGACATGGCTGCTTGGGCCATTTCACAGCTTCTTGGCAAAGTCTCTAGCTACAGCTCCTCAAGTTGTTCTCTCAGACCGAAGCAAAATATGAGCAAACATAAAACCGCTCAAACTGATTCAAAGTCAAATTTTCAATTCAGGAGCTAGGAGAAACTCTTCAAGATGGACCGAGGACAGGATTTCCAAGAAAGGGCAAATCTGTGCCTTGTGCTCATTTTAAAACAATGCATGAATCAACCTGAATAATGTGCAAAGTATTCCAATCCCCTTTTCTAACATTTTTATGACTAAAATTACCAAATTCACAGATACCACTTGTGTTCAGGATGTTCTCTGCCAAATGGGAGAAGACAGCTTTATCCCTTTGGTGACTTTATCCATGGGTGCTGTGGGAAGTTAGCAGTCACAGCAACATTAAATACTATGGTCACTTTGATGCATTTCTATACAATTCTGACCTTCGGCTTCTTTGGATCATTTGGAAGCTAATTCACTAGGGCAAAGGCCACTAACCAATGCACAAGGTTCTAAAAAGTGTCTGTGTGTTTGTGTCTGTGTCTGCGTTTCTGTGTTTGCATGTGTGCGTGTGTGTGTGTCTGTATGTCTGTTTGTCTGTCTGTGTCTGTGTGTGTCTTTGTGTGTGTGTGTGTGTCTCTGTGTTTGTCTTTCTGTGTCTGTGCGTGTGCCTGTGTGCGTGCGTGTATGTGCCCCTCTGTGTCTATGTGTATCTATGTGTGCGTGTGTGTGTGTGTGTGTCCGTGTCTGTCTGTGTCTGTGTGTGCGCGTGCTTGTGTGTGTGTGGTGTGTGTGTGGTGGTGTGTTTGTGTGTGGTGGTGTGTTTGTGTTTGTGTGTGTGTGCATGCGCGTGTGTGTGTGTATGTGTTGAGGGTGGTGTGTGTGTGTGTTTGTGTTTCTGTGTGTGTGTGTATGCGTGCGTGTGGGTGATGGGTGGGTGGGTGTGTGTGTGTGCACGTGTGTCTTGTGTGATGATGGGTCTGTGTGTACGCGCGCGCGTGTGTGCATGCGGGTGACGGGTGTGTGTGTGTATACACGCGCATGTGTGTGTGT